GGCGGGCCGTGCTTTGCGATCGGTGCAGCTGAGCATCACACAAGCTGCGGTGTTGCTGACTCTGGGTGCATGTCCACTCATGTACCTAAGCCGCAATTGTGCTGAAGGACTTAGCTTGATATTGCAACCTCATCTCTACATCAGCTGATGTAGTGACCGCGTCATTGGATTCAGAACCGTCAGGTTACACTTGGTGGACTACGTGAGTCTGTTGATCGGTGGTGACATGGTACGGGACGGGCAGTAGGCTATGTTGAGCCTATGTTCAAACAAAACCAGTTAGTTTAAACTTATTGGTGTGGAGACATGTGGGGATTTTGATCCACTTCTTTTTCCTGCATGATTGTGTGGAACTTCTGCAGGATTTATACTGTGTGGAGCTCTTTAGTGGAGTTGGCAATGTCTGTCGGGGTTTCCGTTTGGATCTCAGTGTTTTTTCTACATGTATACATATGCCCTAAATGTGGTGCACATAGTCCTGTGCCCATGGTGTTCTCAAAAGTGGGGATCACTTGGGCTGTCTCAAGGCGATCTTGGCCTCAATGCGTGGCTTGGCTTGGGGGTCACCTTGAGTCATACTGTGCCCAAATGCTACACCAGCTCCTGTTCCACTAGTACTAACACTGCGCAATATGCAAATAGAATCAAATACCAAGGGTTGTGCGCATCCAAGGCAATCCTTGGATTACCTTGATGATGGTTGCTCCAAAGACCTACTCAATGACCTGGGGTTTTTGTTCGCGACACGCCAGATCTTGCGAATACATGAGGGAGGACTTGCATTCTTTGGACTGCCTTGTAATAGCTTCTCCTTCATGTCCAAGTCACTGCATGCACGAAGTCTTGAACAGCCCTTCGGGTGCCCGCACTACAGCTTCGTGCATCAAGGCAATATCCTTGGGGCGCGGACATGCTTGCTCCTGGCACTTTGCGTGGCTCGAGGAGTAAGGTTCATGCTGGAGAACCCTGAAAGGAGTGCATTGGTTTTCTTCCCCTACTTGCAACACATGATGAGCTTCCCGCAGCTGAAGCCCGAAAGGGTTTTTTGGTGGGGGGGCCTACTCTTCAGTCATGCACTCTTGAACCAAAGAACCTTCCCAAGCTTGGGTTACAGCGCTGGGTTGCCATGATGACACGACTTCTCTTTATCAGGTGGATGGGTAGCTATGGTGGCTTTAGCAAGAAACCCCAAATGGGTGCAGGGAATTGGTGCCTTGGCCAAGACAGTGATCGTCTAGTTCATGCGACATGCACTGTCATCTGTCTATGCAAATGCTTTAAACTTGTTCCACTAAGTTGCTGGATGCCATTCCTCTACCGCCCCATGGATGATTCCAATCTATGGAGGATCAAAAACCGTGCCAAAGTCGAGAAACGGGAGATGACCAAGAAAACGATCAAGAAAGGAACGGACAAGATTCAGGTGACCCTTGTCTTCAGACGGTCCATGTGTGTTACCAAAGTTCCTATTGGAACACATGTAAAATAGAACTAGCTTATATCCATCCAACCCTCTACTCACACGGTTCTACAGCCAAGGACTGGCAGTCGTGATTTGAAAGCCAGTGGTGCATATCCACGTCAATTTGGAGAAGAGGTAGCAAGGCTCCATGGAGAGTCAATGGCGTTTTGGCTTCATGAGCTTTGTGGGTGAAATGGCTTGAACATGTGGCTGGAGGCCAAATGTAACAGGGGGTCAGCACTACCTGGGTTCATTGCGTGGGTGGTACAAAACTCAAAATCCCAAATCCCTGCCGTCCAAATCTCAATTGCACCAAAGGCGAATGGTGATGACCTACCTGATCTCCATGACATTATCATGTGTGGGTTCAAGGACTTCTGGATTCTGGGTGTGGTGCCCTGAAGACAGGCTTTTATTCACTTGTGGACCACCACGCATGCAAAGCTTAGGCAGATTGCAGCTTAGGACCATCGAATTTACGGAGTTTTAGTCTAAACGTACGAAGTACCGTTCCTGCACAGGTGCAGTTGCCTGCAGTACAAATACATATGGCCCCTTCCCTGCATCCATTGCCCACTTGCCACGCAGGATCTTCCTCCGCAGTGTGATTGGAGCCACGCAAACCTAGCAACGTTGGCAGCAAAGGTGATGGGCGCTGTTGAGGGTGGCCTGTACACACCTGTGGATCCAACTGTTTCCTTTTCTACAGCCCCGTCTCGAACCACGGCTGAGATGTACAGGCAAAAATGGAAAATAAGCAGAAAAGGGGGTTGAAAACAGTCTGGTCATTCCAGCTATAATTAATAAGTCTTTTGTGTCCCACTGAACATCCCACGTTCCTGCAGATTCCCGGACTTTTTGTGGTGTGTTTGCTGTGTGGACTCTACACAGTTAGACGCACATAGTGCAAACTATCCCAATTAAAGGTGTGCTTGACACCTAGCGATATCCAAATTCACAGGTTTGCACTTAGCTTGTGGATGCTGGCAGCCAGAAAAACAGTACAGCCTGGACATTGCTGCACCATACCAAATGGTCATGAAACGGTTTGAAACGCCAGAACAGCAACATAATTGTAACACTTGTGTGCACATTTAGTTTTGCCACGATATCCAAGGCTCTGAGGGCTCCTTTGCTAACATTTCCGGCACTCTACAGATCAAAATATAGTCTTTCACAACGCATGACAAAAAATAACAAAATTTCCTAGCGTTATTTGAGCGTTATTTGGCGTTATAAGTCCGTTATGAGACAAAGTTAGGCGTTATTTGAGCGTTATTTGGCGTTATTTTGATTTTTTGTTCGGAACCTCCTGCGATCCTGGTCCGTGCCTTCTGATCGTATAGATTGCCATGTCGAAGCCACTGCCTACCGCTTCCAAGAGCAGGTCGCCAGTCCCATATGCCATCGGCTTACTGTACCAAACAATACCAAACATGTGTCAACTGTATTTTGCATGGGGGTAACTCTAGTTGGGGGCTCTGGTGCCTATAAGGACCGTAGTGGGTCGCAATCTTCTATGGATTCCTGCAATGCGAATGATGAGATCGCTCGATTTGAGAATCGCTTGAACATGAAAATCCCAACACTGCGTCCCTTGTCTGGTGTGCATAGTTGGGTGAGTGCAAAATTGTATGTTTAATTAAGTGGCTTAGCTGAGGTCCAGAGAAGCCTGTCGCTACTCCAGCCAGAGCTGCTGTGCACCCACCAACTGTTGAAGTGAAGAAACAACTGGTGGAACATGTTGTGAAGCCGTCTTCTAAAGTTGTGCCTACGGTGTCAGCGAAGTCAACCCCCATCAAGTCACCGGAACACAAGAAACCCCGTGCATGTGAAGGGGGGAGGGGGTTCTGGGATGGCCCGAAGTCTAGCTGGAGAGCTTGCAGCAGTTGTCACCAAGTGTGAACCCAAGTGTGCTGGGCCGCTGTCTCCTCCCATTCTTCATGAACCGGTGGCACATGGTGCTACTAACCCAGTGACTTGGATGCCAAGCCATCCGAGGGGCATGTTGCATGTGTTTATGTAATCCTTCACTTTTACATCTCTAGCTGCCCCCTCTACATCCAAGGTGGAGCCGCGGAGTGGATCTTCCCCATATGTAGAAAAGACAGTCCCATGTCACTTGGTGAAAGCAAATGGATATGCAACCATTTTATTAAATGTAAAGCAATTTTTTTTGTGGATGAGGCCAAACACCGTCTTGGCCCCGTGAGCTCGAGGAGGGTGGACAGAACTCCCTGGATGGTTTGAAACACCGCCCGCGTCGCATCCAAACACAAACAACTCTGCCGTTGGGTGTGGTGGAGGATTCTGATATGGATGCTGCGATGGAAGCTAGATTTGACAAACCCTTGTGGCAGTTCCTTCATCAGGATGTGGACTACCAAGGTGGGAAACCTGATGTCAATCTATTGGCAGGTCCGATTGGACATTGGTTGGAACGCCGGCATGAACGTGGTGACATTGTGGTGGTGGACCCGATGCTTCAACCAACCTTTGACCAGTTGTGCCGATTGAAAGATGAACGAGAGGAACTCGAGACAACACTCAGTGAAAAGAACCGAGAGCTAGGTGAGACCAATGACAAATTGAACCTAGCTGTTGAGACGATGTTGGCCCGGCAACGGTCCTTGATGTGTTCTCAGGATGGTATTGCCAACCCTGAGAGCACAGCTTTGTTTCAGGTGCACAAAATGAACATCGAGGCTTGGCGGAAGAACAAGTTAGATGTTCTGAGGAAGACCATCGAGGACATTGAGAAGAATTGTGAGCAGTTGGGGCTGACCGTTAATAAGCTAGTGAGTGAGTTGGTCCACAAAACCTACCAGATCTATTGCATGAACAAGTCACCACTGCCACCGACCGTGGATGTTGGCCTGATGGAAGAGCTGGAAACCCTTGTGGCGAGTGTCTCCATGCCCCAACATGAGGCCAGCAAGAACAAGCTAGTTCATGACTTGAGTCACCTGAGTCTCACCTTCCCCATCGGGTCCCCATCCACGCCTTGATGTCTATATAGGCCTCCACTGCTCCGGATCGGCGGGCATCAGAGAGTGCCCCGGCATTTCCGAATTCTGGTACTGAGGTGGGGTGCCTTAAATTGTGCACATGTTCACATGTGGTACATGTACATGTGCCCATGCACATGAGAACTCCATACGAACCCAGCAATCTATATTGCTCCACCAGGCTGATTCATCAAGGAAGGCTTCGCCAATGCCCCTTATGGCTGCTTTAGAAACTCAGGAGGTGGTCCTGGGGCGGAAGGACACCACATAATTGGAATCTGAAGTGGGCTAGCTGCAAGTTGAAGCAAGTTTACATTCAATGTGGCATCCAAGTAGGTTCAAGGTGATTTTTCTTTTTAATTTCTGAGGCTCTCAACAATGTAACTATGCAGGTTCCACCACCTGGTCCAGAGGGCATTGAACCTCTCCCTGATGCCCCTGCTGGTGATGAAGAGCGGTTTCCTACAGGGCCCAATGGGAGGCTTGAAACGCGAGCTGAAATGGAACACCGTCTTGCCGTGAATTGCAAAATGAGATTCCACCGCTCATTGAACAGTAGCTTGTATGCATTTGTTGGGAAATCACGTGTCAAAACCATCCCAAATCAAGAATTACCCTCACCGACATCATATAGCTTAGGCAGCAAATGTCCAGAGGCGGTCTTGGAAAGGGCTAAGGGGCGGAGACACAGTGCCTTGGCCTAACAGGACACTACGTGCAATGCGCACCGGAATAGGTCCATTAGACCCCTATACCAATATAGTGCCTACTGAGACCAAAAGCTCATCGGCGAGCTCTTTGAGCAATGGTTGAGTGCCGGGGAAGACTGGATGCAAAGCAGCATAGTCGCAAATTCATGTAAAACCATGGCACAGCGGAAACGAGGGCGCTACTGCATGGTGGATGTGAAATCCTTGAAGAGCAAGTACGGGGCTGCACTGGGGAAACAACTCCGGGATGAAAAAAAAACAATGGAGGAGACCAAGAGTCCCGAAGATCCGATTGTATATTGGATGCCTCACCCCGACATTGCCAGTGAGGCAGGGCACACCAACCAGTGGTCCTTAAACATGCATTTAATTTGATCCACCAAACAAACACGTTATGACCAGCTTACTTATAAACCGGTACCATTGGAGGACTTCGAGCTCGTGCGTATGTTCGATTCGATGATCTACGAAGACGAGACCAAAGATGAGATGATGGTTGGAATCGAAGGTCAAGGTGCTCTCAGTTCGCAACAAACTCGCGAGGTGATGTGGCCAGACTGCAACCGGTGCCCAACAACTGATGAAACATTCTGTTGATTGATGCAAAACGAATTTACATACTCAGCAGCTAGAAACATGGGTCCAACCTATACATCCCACCGGCCCAAAGGCTTGCCACAATGGGTGCCAACATGGAGAAATTCCAAGCTTCTGGTGTGGGCCTGGCTTCCAACGCCGCTGGCAATGTGCCTCCGCAAATGGCGGAACCAAAGCAGAAGCGGAAACCACCGATCGCAAAGCAGGTTTCTTCCAAGATTTCGAGTGCATCATCAAAATTGACTGAGCTCATGGCATGGCGAGCAAAGGTGAATGATTGCTCTTCGCTGTAACTCGCTTAATTGGGGTTTAAACATGTTGCAATCATGTTGCAATCCAAGGATAACCAAAAACCTTTGCATGGTGACTGTATTGGGCCAGTGTCAGGTCACCAAATTTGTTGCAGGGTTTTGTCGCAGAGTTGGATTCCAAGAAGAAGGCCATCGAGGATGCCAAAACGACCGTTGAAGACCTCTATGCGGAAACATTGGGTAAGACAGACAAGGAGATCAATGAGAACACTGACTTGGTTCAACGGGTCACCAAAAGCATGGGTTCTGTTGATGCTGCCTTTACCAGTTTCAATGGCACATTGAAAAGCATCAAGGGTGCTCTAGATACTCAACTGAACTGAGTTGATGTCTAACAGTCTAACACTTCCTATTCATTTTGCTTGGGGACATGGGGTTGGGTCCTGGTGTACACTGCCACTGAGGAACCTGCTAAGGCAAAGGCAAAGGCTCCAGCAAAGGCGAAGGGTGCACCGCCACCCCCGCCTGGAGCACCTGCACCTCCGAGCTGAGAGCTAGCCACCAGCTGGATGTAGGGCTGTGCTTTTGTGTTCACTGTTGCTGCACTGGCCATAGCTGTTGAAAGGCCAATCAATGTACGGACTGACCAAAGACATTGACTTCTTGATGGCCCTATTCCAGCTGCAAAGTTTTGCTTCTTCGATCAGAGCTCCGCTATTAGGAGCCATTTTGCAATGTGATGCGATTCAGGGCCAAACCGATGGCCAGGACTTAGTCCATGTGCTTCGAAGAGCCCAGCTGTATATCATGTTGCTGTTGTCTGGGGCCAGTCTAGTAGCCAGCGCTTCTAATGTGGCAATGAAGTGGCACTCAAGCTCCACACTGGCCACACTCAAGCTTGCCATGGAGGTCGTTGTGCTCTCCAGTGTTCCTTAAGGTTTTCACCTTCCTGTACCAACCGTGTGATGTACCTGTTTGACGCCGACCTCCAGGTCTTCCAGTCCAGAATCTTGAACACATGATAGATTACAGCTGAGGTTCTCTGCTGGTGCTGGGGTATGACAAACGCATAGTTTTCTTGTGTGATCCAACCAACATGGAGCACATGCATTTTTTAAAAAACTCAATGTATCTCCAATATCCTCCTCTGGGTTGTTTGGTGTCTTGGCGTTTGTCTTGGGAACAATAGGTGACAGCACCTATGCCAGCAGCCATGTGTCTTGGAGTTGGGGCCTGCATAAATCGAGAAAAGACCATATTGCTGCTGCACCACATATTGCAATATCACCTGCGCTAGTGACAAGCCCCCACGCAGGTGCCAGCCTATGCGCAGGATCGCAGACGAGTCCATTGGCCAGCTTCGTCCTGCAGGAGAGTGGGCTGGGTGCTGATTCTTGGTGAGGGCTCGGGACCGAATCTATTTTTAAGTTCTGTTGCCCCTCAACTTTTCATGGGCCTCTCCCAGATTCAGTACTTCAATTTGAACGCTGCCGGATTTGAGCTAAGGATTCATACCGCAAAGCTCACCAAATAGTTAACTTTGTGCGAAAGGACAAGGGCTTTGCTGGATTTAGTTTTTTTGGAATACTCTAAAAACATCTGTGCTGTAGGGTGTAGAGACTTTCATGACCCCTGAATGAGGAGTTTGAATTTCAAGGGCACCAAATGAGGGGGGCCTGCAGCTAACCTCTTCAAAGCTGGAGCTGAAGGGAAACATTGCAACAACATTCGACGTGATTGGTTCCGGAAAATGGCAAAAATGAAGTACGACCACCGTGCAACTCAGCTTAAAGTTTCACCAAGATGCAAGGTTGGGTTGGTTTATATATGTACTATGTTCAAGCACAATGAAATTCAAATCCACCATAAAACAGTGACCCCCCCTAAGTTGTAAGGATCCATACCTCCTCAGAAGGTACTTGGCCCACCAAGCCTACATAGACATAGTTTCAATCACCGTAACTATATCTGTGTCACTGGGTCGGTTCCTGAGGTGCCCATCAGTTGGGTTGATGTCCCGCTGGTTGAGTTTGGGGAAGAGGGATGGCGGGAAATTGAAGAGCCACTTGACATGTCAAACAGTAGGTTTTGATTTCAGTTCATACCTATCCCTTGCAAACCCGATCAACTATTTGTTGGTCCCTTCTCAACCCACTGGTGCCTTGCCATTTAAGGAGCATGCCGTACTGTCGACCTGATGACCTCCTAGTCTGGATGATTGAGCGTGACATTTGGCCGGTCATCCCAGATCGGAAAATCACACGATATTGGAACCATTTGCGCTCGGTTGGGTCAGAACTTGCTGATGTGAGTCCGACTGGTGACCATCATCCCATTTGGATTTGGGGTGATGCAGCAAATTACTCGAAGGACCAGAACATCATTACGGTATGTATTGGCAGTGTTTTGGACGATCGAACTGATTCCATCACCAAGTGCTTCCCAATAGCCCTACTTCGTGAAGACTTTTGCCCGCAATAGAATCCCATTTTTTCACAAATTACTTTGTCATTTGGTGTTGGAGATGTACATGAATTTGTGCCTAAAGTACACAAACCCAGGAAAGAAGCGCTGGCTTTGTGAGCATGCGTGCAATCCTGGAACCTGCTCCTTGGCCAGGAAATGCCATCCCACTAGGCCAAGCTGCCTTTTCATCTTGGCACATAAACAAAACCTGTTTGTAGGTGGATCGGGTTGCCAATCTAGTACCCTAATCGATGATGGCAAAACCCACTTGGCCTGGCCATACTCAAGTCAAAAAACTAAAACCTTTCTTGCAACCAGCTCAGGTAGTCAGGTCGCTGCGCGTCCTATTCGATGATGGCATTTGTGACAAGCATGGCACTGTTCGTAAATATGCACTTGTGGAGTTGAGAGGCGATTGGAAATATCAGAAGGAGTGGGTTTGGGCCGACCGGATAAGATAATAGAAAGTTTATCTACACGCTGGTTGTTTTCGAAAGATGTGTTCAACAGTTCCACATTAGCTAGTGGAAGGTTAAACCAGTGTTCAACACCTTTGTTCATGGCAGGAAATTCTGAACTTGAAGAACTTCTACCAATGCAATATGATCTGCCATGAGTGCAAAGCGCACAAAAATACCTTCACCTCTAAGACCAGATTAGACTATTTCCTAACTAATAGTTAGAACAGCTTTTCTAGATTATTTTCTAACTATTAGTCTATTTTAAATAGACTTGAATTTAGACTGAGAAATAGTCTATTTTGAAACATAACCTTGAGGTTATTCTATAGAATAACATCAGGAAATACAAACTATATACCTAAACTTGTGGTGTTATATTGTGAAAAACAAACGTGCATGTTACTTATCATAGGCCATGTACTGTTACTGAGGCCATGTGCATGCAGAACTTTGTGTTGGTGAATTGCATTTGCATCGGACAACCTCTTGTATTTTCTTGTCTTAGACAAGTCCCTCTTTGCTGCTACTGTTGCATCGCCTTTACCACTTTCACCAGCATCATCTGATTCTGGCTCATCACCTTTGTGGTCTTCCTTCAGCTTCCACTTCTGCACTTTGTCTGAAAAGCTGTCCTTTTCATGCTTTTTTGGAACTGCTTTGGGCTTACTCTTGGCTTTTGCCTTCTGTTGCTTCTCCTTCTTCTTCTCTATGGTTGGCTTCGCCTTTGGCTGTGGTGCTTTTGCCTTGCTTTTTGCATGAGGCTTGACTGATACTGCTGGCCTTTTCATGGGTGTCGTAGGTGCCAAAGCCTGCCGTGCACTTTTGGCAGGGGTAGCTGCTTCTTCTGTAGCTGCTTCCCTCTTGTTTTGTGAAGCCGTGGCTGGTCACCAAGTGCTACTTAGACCCCCACTGAATGCTACCTAGATTCATTTTTATGTTTGAGTTGTTCTATGTCACGTTTTGTCTTTCGTTGCGTCGGTTTGTTTTGTGTCCTTTACTTTGTGCTGCTTATTTTTACATATTTTTATTGTCATATGCACGAGAACACTTTGTTGCAACAAAGCAACTCTGGAGCCACAAAAGACAACACAACAAACATAATACAAGTTGCCAAATGCTTCAAGATAGATAACCACAGTGGACTCATACTACTGTGCATGTAGTTGCCTAGTTTTTCATTTAGCCATTTCAACTAACCTACACGAACTTAACAAACAAAATCACAAAAGACGTAAGCAAAACATGAAACATATTATAACACTGACATAAAAGTACTGAACACTGACACAAAAGTGTCACAAAAGACACACAAAAGTGACACAAAAGCGACGCAAAAGTGACACAAAACTGGCACAAAACTGACACAAAAGCGACACAAAAGCGACACAAAAGTGCCACAAAAGTAAGACAAAAGTGACACAAAAGTGACACAAAACCGACACAAAAGCGACACAAAAGTGACACAAAAGCGACACAAAAGCGACACAAAAGTGACACACACACAGAAGTGACACAAAACCGACACAAAAGCGACACAAAAGCGACACAAAACCGACACAAAACCGACACAAAACCGACGCAAAAGCGACACAAAAGCGACACAAAAGCGACACAAAACCGACACAAAAGTGACAACTTTTACATTGCAACTGACACTTAAAGTGTCACTTTTATTTAAAACTACACTGAAAAAGTTGCAGTTTCAAAATAAAAGTGGCACTATTAGTGTCACTTTTGTGTCACTTTGGTGTCATAGTTGAATTTGATTTTTTAAAGTGCAATATTTCCATATATTTATTGAGATATTGTTTGGGCTTGTATACGTAATATTGACCTATTTGGTGAAGTAAAATGGAAGGAGTACTGTCATCAGCTGTGGAGCGAGTACTGTCGAAGGAGTACTGTGATCAGCTCCGTCCAACTGCAGGTGTTCCAAAATGGTGTCAACCTTCTCTTTGGAATCGAAGGTGGCCTTCCTCATTGCTGTTGCGTAAGCTTCATGGTTCTTCTTGATGCCTCTGGCTTGTGCAAGCAAAACACGAATCCTTTGATCTACCTGGTCCACAAAGTCAGCTGTATGGAAGTGTGTTTTGTTGACCATTTTTGAACAGTCTTGGATCATCCTCTGTAGTGCTAGCTTAACTTTGGCTGACCTATAGTAGCCCATTTGGTGCAATCTTCAAGAAATGCACCAACATTTCATGACATTGAGCCATCCATTGAGGACAAGAACTTGTCTTCCAACTCCACTGAGCATTGGTAGGATGTTTCAAACAAGAAAACAGATCTTTGTCAGCTCCTCTGTTCCTTTCCTTTGGCAGCACTCTTTGCAGGTCCATCACACCACTGGAAGGGTCCACCTTCATTCCCTTAGAGACGGCCATGTGTGCTACAGGTGCTCAAAGCAAAGAAAGGAGATGTGTGCGATGCTAGTTAGGACAAACATAGACAAAACTTGTTTCTTCATGAAACTACAACATCTACCCTTTTGTCAGTCTTGCTGATCCTCTGGAAGCTTGTGAGCCTTCCACAACACTTGACACCAAAAATACTTTGTGATGTGAGTTTGAAAGAAAATTTGCGTGTTATCTAGGCCATGTACGGTTACCTAGGCCATGTTACTTAGGCTCTGCTCAATGTTACTTGGGCCACACACATTGCTCAAGTTTGTGTTTTTCAAAAGTGTGACCACAAACACCTAAAATGAACTAACAAAATGTCTTTACAAGATCTCAGGTTTTTCCAACATAATCTTGACATTCCAAGGTTGTTTAGCAAAATAGACTTGAGTCTATTCAACAAAATAGACTTTAAAATATCCCCTAGTTTATACTATTAGTTTATTTGAATTCTAACTATTAGTTAGAATTATTGAAATAGACTAATAGTTAGAAAATAGTCTAATCTGGTCTTAGAGGCATGGTACCCACCCTGCAAGCTCCCCGCTACAGTGATGATGAATTCTGGACCGACTGTGTCAAGCCTGGTCCCAAATGTTACTTGGATTCTTTTTTGGACGAGTATATTTTAAAGTATGTGTATGTACAAAACCACATGCTAAACAATCCGCTTCTCCATACAACTTAGAACCGGACCAAACCCAGGTCCTTTACTAGAGGTTCCGAACTTCAAGAGGAGCATGGTCAAGTGGTGTGCAATGCATGTGCTACACTTGGGAGTTAGCTTGTGGATTTTGGGATCCACATTTAGAGTACTACTTGACCAAGCAAATGTTTGGATGGATGGATCTGACGCTGCGCCTTGTTGCGACGATGAACGCCTCTATAGAGCGTGGTTGAACTTTAAGCAGTACTGCAGGGACGAGAAGCTACAGACTCCGATTTGAATCGAAAAATATTTTTTTCTATGTGCCTCCCATGGCTAAATAAGTCGTAGGACCGGAGTATAACTTTTATACTGTGCAGTACACCCACGTGCGCACGGTTCCCAAGTTAGGCATTCAATGCCACGTTGGTCTTCCAAAAGTTTGCGGTCCAGACAGCATCCGTATCCAGAACTACAGTCAAAAGCCTGGAATGTCACTCGATTTTACTGGCTTGGCTTGCATTCTCAAGTGCAATTATGGCCAGGATAATTTAGGTTGGTTTGGATTTGCGACCTTTTGCTTTGAGGCACGTATTTGTATGGCATGGATGGGTCACTTCCTTGAGAACAACATCGATGATGCTACATACCCTTCATTGGCTTCAGTGAAAGTGTGTGTGCGCCTTGGTCTTGTGCGGCGTTCCAGTTTTGCTTGGGGTGCTTGATGTGTGAGCTTTCCCCGAAAAGGACAACAGAACCGATGCACAAGTCTGCCGACGGGCCGACGAACCATTTCCATCTGTTATCCAGGTATACGTGCAGGTACATCGGTGGGCGACCCCACCGACAGTGTTCAACGCAAGCCTAGGTACGTGCAGGTACATCGGTGGGCGACCCCACTGACA